CCCTTTTTCTCTTTTCTGCCGCGCCGTAGGCTGGTTTCTTCAGCGCAGGCTGTGCTGGCCACCGGGTCAGGGATCGTCATCGTCAGCTACTGCAAAAACGTGGTCTCCGACAGGTAACATCCAATGCCAGGTGAAAGAAGTACAAATATCACCACTGAACTCTTTCGAAGTTTGCATATTTTAGTGGCTCACAGACACTAACATCAGCACACGCTGCTGGGTAGCCCATTCATGGGAAAACTTGGGCACCATAGTTAGTCCCCACCTCCTCTCCTTACCTCTTTCTGCGTGGTCACCTTAGGAGAGTAAACTGAAGAAGTGCTAGAGAATGACAGTCTCAGCCTGATTTAAGGTGGCATTGAGAAGACAGTGCGGTCCATTGATCCAAGTTCTGTAGGAGAGAGATACATTTGAAAAGGATTCAGAAGTGAGAGTGTGGCTTTTGTTTCTTTTAAGTGACCTCACTGGGGTCCTGTTCTGGAGCATTCATTGGCCAGGATATGTGCAGTGTGGTTTAGCACAGCCTTACAAATGCTGCTCTTGTCTTTTCTCTGGATTTGCTAAAAGGTGGTGGAGGGTTTTCGGGTGCTTTTAGAAAACGGACTTGTCAGTCCAGAGGCTGGCCAGGAAATGTGCATCTAGTGAAAGGAATCATAAAGACCAAGGGTGGTCTACTTTGTATAGTATTTAAACCTGGGCAATGGTGGTGTGTTGTTTTTGAAGCCATTTTTTTTTTTTCACCTGTCTTCCTAGAACCACTCTCAACTTTCTCCCAGGTAAGTTGAAGAGTGACAGTCATCATACAGGGAAAGTCTGATCATGAGCCTTTTCTCATGTTGACTCTGCAGTGTCCCTCTTTTCACCTGTTGAGACTGCAGTGGGAGGAGAGCCTGAGTGGGGTATGTCTCACTGGCCTGCAAATGCAGTGCCTGGATCTTACTTGGGATTAATGCTGCCATCATGATTTTTGTGCTTTTCTTGGTGATGAGTTGTGTGTAATTGCTGAGAGAAGACAGGTCGGATGACTTTGATTGCATGTACCCAAGGCTAACAGCATTTGCATGGCCGGGTTTGAAAGCATCAAATAAAAAATTTTAGTCCAGCATGTTGTGATTACGTGGCAAGCTTCCTCAGTGCCCCCACCCAGTGTTTCAAATCAAACTTGAAACCAGCCTCTTGCAAAGATTAGGACAAGTGTGGTTCAGCACTATCTTGAGCTGACATGAGGGCAAGCAGCAGCCAACTACTACACATTTTAGAAAAACATATTTGTGCATAATTAGCTTTCAGTTCTGTAGCACCACTGTTGTGTTTCCCCCTTAAAAACGGTGTGTTTTAGTGGCTTGAGCATGGTAAGAAACCTGAGCTTGGTTTTCAGATACATTTCTTTTTTCTTTTCTTTTTTTAATGTATCTTTATTGATTTCAGAGATTCAGATACATTTCTGTGCCCTCTACCTTCACATGGATGCATAAGGGTGCTCTAATGGCATGTAGATCATCTAAAAAAACCCAAAACACACACACAAAAAAACCTTTTGGGGCTCATATCCTATATACTCAAATATTTTTCAATTACATGCTTTTTCACTTTATGCCTTCATGTTGACTGTCTATAGATAGAGGATATCTGTAAATCCCAATTTATATGCAGACTGTGGTATGGGGCCAAGGATTTCATCAGCTTCTTAAAGAGGTCTAGATCCCTAAAAGGGCTAAGAGTCACAGCTCTAGGCAATTTTCTCAGTTTAAGCACTTATATTTGGGTAGTACTTTTTACAGTTAAAGGGACTTTCACACTTTTGGTTTTTAATCTTTACAATAACTTTGTCAGGGAAGTAAGACAAGGATTACTATCTTCATTTTATAAAGAAAGCTAAGTCCCAGGTTTTTGGTAGTTACGATTACAATCTAGATCTCTTGCCAGTAAATCTTGAGAGAATTCTACCAAGCAGCCACAATTTCAGATCTTATTCAATTGGTACTGTGTACAAAATATTAAAACCCTAAGCCCCACTCAAGGCCAGCTATATTTCAGCTCAGCTTTTAATAGCTCCTTATAGTTTATTTAACTTGGAATTGCTTTAAGAAAGCAGTGGAGACCATTGATGGGCAGTAGAATAAACATTGCATCTTTTTGCCTAAATGGACTTTGGCTAATTAATTCACCTGCATGTATATTACATTTTCCATCATTACTTGTTTGCCTGTTTCTTTGTTTATGCATTATTGAGTTATGCTGTGGTGAGTGTGGAATCACTTAGGACCAGGAACTTGAATGGCACCCTCTATAGAGTATATTTCTAATGTTGCATTTGGTCGACTGGCTCCTTAGGAAATCCCCTGAGGCAAAGTTACAAATACAGGTTTGAGGGCTGTAGTATACCATTAAGAGTCTTGGGGGGGGTGGAGCCTTAATTAGCATTGCAGGTGATTCTTATGTTCAGGTAGTTTGAGAACCACAAAACTAAATTGTTTCTTCTACCTAACACATGGTGCTCAATAAAAATCTGCTATTTAGTGAATCTAATCCTTCCCAGCATAGGATATGATTTCAATTTAGATGTTTTTATGCACATCAATTTTCTGTAGAATTAGGATTTATCATTTGGGAACAAAATTATAAAACTTAGACACTCCTTCTAATCTGCTCTAGGATAGTGATAAGCTGTCATTTCAACTCAGTAAATATTGATTCAACCCCTTTGGAGAAGTAAATGGAAACAGTGTCTTTTGTCCCAGCTTCTCTTTTGGTATCTGACTGCTATAAGGTAGTCCTTGAGCTCCGGGCTCATTTCCAGACATATTTTTCTTAATGAGTGGAATTGGGATTAGCTATAGAATTATAAAGAAAAATGGTCAGGGTTGCTTGCCAGTTACTCCCTAGAGTGGGGTTACAAGCAGATGCAAGAGGAAACTCCCAAGTGTTGAGCAACGAGTGAAGTTAAACTGGAAATATTGGATTGGGACTTGGGACACCTTCCAAACCAGTTTCTTGGTGGGGCTGTTGAATCATTGGTAGAGATATCTATATCAAAGTCAGCGTATATCACGAAATGCCAGAAAATCCATTACAAATGAGTAGCTAAATCAAGCAGAGAGAGCTAGTCATTTAAACCATGGTGCTTTCTGCCTTTGACAGGAATTATCCCTATAATTTAGAGAAAGTTGTTCAGTCCATCAACTTCAGCATCTTCATTGTAAAGTATCTGGAGTAAAAAAGTTGGATTGCTACAAAGCTGAAGGAAATGTGTTTGAGAAGAGGTTGGCTTGGAGCCTGCCTTCATAGTTGATATCCACAATTATTTCATGGACCACTCATATGCTTTCTTTCAGGCACTGGCTTGCCCGAGAATATGTCTGGTTTTTGGTTCCATATATGGTCTATGACACCTACGCCATGTACCTCTGTGAATGGTACCGAACCAGAGAACAGAACCGCAGACACTCCCTCACCATTTTTCGAAACTTCCTAAGTAAAAACCGTCTCATGATCACGCACCACGTGGCCATTCTGTTGGTCCTTGTGCCAACTGCACAGGTATGGCCTCCCAGGATACAGCCACCAGCAGCCTTGGTCACTCATTTCTCCCATTGATCTGGGTATCCTGACCATTACTTAGGAGTCAGGATTGCCCTTTTCCTTTGCTTTCCTACCTCACCCACTCCCGTCGTGCCGGCTGCTTCTGCAGTTAAACCCCCCAGGCAAATAATGTAGAAACGTTCATGATCCTCCTTGCCAGCAACCCCCCAGCCCTTTGTGAACCTTTGCTAAAGGTTCTGTCTTTAGTTCATATAAAAACAAGATAAAATACATTAAAAATTTTTTAAATGAGACAATTATTTGCTCAGTCAACTGGTTATTTGTTCTAACAGGGCCAGAGAGTACTATATGCATTATTATGTCACAAAAGTAGATTCTGAAAGCAAATAGCCTCATAATTTCTCCCCAGATCCATTTTTTCCCATAAAAACTTCACCCAACGAGAGGTGGGAATGCAAAGAGGAAACTAGTAATTTTTGAGTGCCTGCCAGGTGACAGGCACTTGATTCAAAAGCTCATAGCTTTCTGCTAATTAGAAATGACTAGAAATAACATTAGAAATTGTTAACCCTATGCCATAGATGAAGATACTGGGGCTCTAAAAGTTACGTAGCTCACTCATTGGTACTAATTAACAGAGCTGCTATCCTTTTATGCTATATTGCTTTCTTGAAAAGATAGAGAGGTAGAGTGTATTAGATTCTTTAAGAAGGCTCCCCAACATCTAGCACAGGGTCTGGCACATATTTTGTTGAACTGACCTGGCTAAGTGCCCTTGGCATGACTAAGTTAGATATCCAAAAGTAGGCTGCAGAGTTCCTTCCGGCTGACGTTGAAATTTAGAGAAAGCTTGGCGTGTGATGAAATCAGCCGATCAGAAGTTGCCTCTGGGTCCTAGTGACTCAGCCATCAAAGTGCCATCGCTATGGGAGCAGCAGGGTATTAAAGGGGTCTACACTTGTCCATTAGCATCTCCCTTTCCCTTTGTGGTCTCTCATGGTGACCCTTTTCAATAGCCCAGGTTAGAATTTTCCTTCTGGTGGTCCTTAACCTCCATGTCTTATCTCCCTGTTTCCTCTTGTCACCTGCAGAGGCTTAGGGGAGACCTGGGGGACTTCTTTGTTGGCTGCATCTTCACGGCAGAACTGAGCACTCCATTTGTGTCGCTGGGCAAAATTCTGATTCAGGCACGTATGAATGAAATGGCAGAAACAGTGTGGGGGGCACAGACTCCACTTTTCCTTGGTAGGTTGTGGGGTTTGCAGAAATCCCATAGTGCTAATCGTGGGATAGGAGACCCTTGAACAGACTTAAAGGTCAATTGTTCTTCCAAGCCAGTGGGGACAAAATTGTAAGTTTCATTAAAATTTAATAGTCCTTCGTGAATTTTTTTCCCCCTGGCCATAGATTTTCTCTCATCCTCTGTTCCTATGTTCCTGTGAGCTGGGTGGCTTTGGTCAAATTCTACTCACTGTTGGGAAACCTACAAGGATATATGCATATATAAATTTGGCAGTGCTCAATCAACTTTTCCAAATGTCAGAAAGCTAGATGCTTGGCCTTTACTGCTGTGGGACTTGGGCTAGCCATATCCTGAAGGCCCAGCCTCTTGGTGACTGCAGTCTCCTTCCCTTTTCTTTTGCAGCTAAAGCAGCAGCACACCCTCCTGTACAAGGTAAACGGGATCCTCACACTGACTACCTTCGTTTCCTGCCGGATCCTTCTGTTCCCCTTCATGTACTGGTCCTATGCCCAGCAGCAGAGAATAAGCATATTCCAGGTGCCATTCAGGATCCCTTTCTTCTGCAACGTGGCCAATGCCTTCCTCATCGCTCCCCAGCTCTACTGGTTCTCTCTGCTGTGCAAGAAGGCAGCTGGGCTCTTTGACACTCCCCTGGCCGAAAAGGATGGATAAGAGGTCCCAGGAGTCAGGCAGTGAGGGTGCCTCCTCACACTATGTGCCTCTTCCGCTCAGTGTTCCATGGACCACACTGCACCCTGGGTGGCCTTGGCCTTTTGGGTATTGATAAGCAGATAAGGGTTTGAGTTTTCCTAAAGAATATTCATATTACCTCCCTCTTCTAACCTGCCCCTTTTGCAAAAGCACTTTTAGTGACAACTATTGGATCCTGTCCGGCCTCCGTGGGCGGGCAGCAAGGTGGATTTAGTGCAAGCCCAAGGATCCTTCCTTGGGTCTTCTCTCAAGGGCCCTGGGAGGTAGAAGCATGGGTGTGGAGACAGGTGGACCAAGATGATAAGTGTCTGGGCACCCAACTGGCCCTGACATTGGCGGCTACCCACCTTTCCAGACACTCAGGGCAATATCCACACATACTAGGCCAGCAGAAGCAAGTGATGACTTATTTCCTGAAATAATCTATGTTGGCCTGGGAAAATCGTTGTGGGTAGGTAGCTTTTTATTGTTTACTAGATAATCCATTGCCTCATCCTTTCATTCATGTGCCAACATTGAATTCTCGTCTACTAACTTCCAATCAGATGTCTCAGTGGGGGTCAGGAGGCAGCAGTGGGAACTTGAAGCACTTGAGGAGGTAGAGAGGCTAATTAACAGGTCAGCATCTTTGCAGGCTGACTGTAAGAAGTGTCAAACTTGTGAGTTTGTTGTAAACAGTCACAAATACTGTTCCCTTTTTAGCATGTCCTTCCAAGCCCAGCCTTCCCCATATCCACACACACAGGATGCTCTTGTTAAAAACTATAGGGGTAAAGTGAAAAGATGGCTACCAAGCTATTTACTGGGTACCCCACTGTTTGACACTGTCCTTTTCACGTGAAGTGGAAATGGACTTCTGTATTCTAAACCATGAAAAGTCGCATCTAGTAGGCTGCCTTCTAAGCCAGAGCTTTTGGTCCAAAGCCTGTTCCGATGTGCGTGTACCACCATTTAGCCACAGAAGGCTGGAGAGCAAGAGTACAAGGCTGGAGAGCAAGAGTACAAGGCAGCCCTGGCCAGGTGATATCCTGGGGATGGACTCCTTCGCTACCACTTGCAGGTGGGATTCCCTGGTGCCGACACTAATCATTCCTTATCAACTAGGATGGGTTTTAGAAACTGCGCTACCACGAAATTTTTTTTTTTAGGTGGTAGTGAGAAGCTAGATTTTTAAATGCCTTTTGATTCATTGTTGTCCATTAACTTAAAGTACTGAAGATGTGTCTCAAATTTTGACTATTTCAGTCTTTAATGGGTGCCATTTTAAAAATGCAAAATGATGTAATTTTTTACTGTTTTGTTCACTGTCAGTGTATCTTGTATAAATCACCCCTGTGGTGATTAAATTGCACTAATATTTCCCAACTTATTCTCATTTGTGAAATACATCAATACGAACTTCCTGTAAGACCCATCCCATCATCTGACTTGGATGGCTGCTGTGTGGTATTGTTTCTGGTCTGTGTTCATATCCATGTAACTGGCAAAGGCAGGGTGTTGAGGGGAGGGGGATGTGTTAATGCTTTCAGCCTCCAGGAGGGCCTACCTCATACCTTATTCTAACATTGCTCCTATGATTCATGGTCCCAGTACACTGCAGGGTCCAAGAGTTCAAGTCCAGTGGTTACCAAACTTTAGGTCCTTTTTTGTCTTTCGAGGTGAACTCCAATTAGGAGTTGGGAGGGTAGAAACCTAATTGTAGGCCACAGAGCCAGGCCATTTTAAGTGGGGGAGGGAACCTGAATGCCTCATTTTGAGTGAGGGTGTGGCTATGAAATAAAGGTGGTGATGGGGTATCTCCTTTTCCCTTCCTTGCCTCCCAAATTAAATGCCTCACCAACCAGTCCTCATAGTTCTGTAAAATACCCAGACACCTTAAAATGGAGTCTGCTTCTGTGGACATTTCCTGCTCCCTCTCATTCTTTAAAACCATGACAATCTACTCCAGGCAGAAGATAATTACACTGACCCTTTAAACACATCTCTATTTACCAGACCTAGTTTTAGCACAGCCCTTCTGGATCCACTGAATGGATGGAGTTAAGGCTGTCTGGCAGAAGTCTTCAATTCAGAAGCCATCCATTTTCTTGAGGTCCTTAATCTACCCACAGAATTAAATTTTCTTGGTCCAGCCACCTCCTTTTACAGTGGTGCACATGGCCTTTTGGGCACACAGATCACATGGCCAACTGGTGAGAGAAGAGAGGTCTTTTCCTAACTGCTGCCCTTTCTGAGAGACCACAAAATGACTCGAGGGTTTCAATGCAAAAGAACACACATACCTTATAATTTTTCCACTTGGGTGGTTTCACCTTTGAACTTACCAAATTTTAGGGTGGAGAAGTCCAATTATGAACACATTCCTCCCAGCTTGATTTGATCTTTAAGGCTCTAGCTCAGCCCAATTTCAGAGTAAACCATAACTATTGATGAGACTCCAAAGAGAAAAGACAAAACTCAAAATGAGAATGTTGTTATAATGTGTATGTTACAGATACCCAAGAAACTATTTTCTTTACATTGTTACTGCCATATACTTTTTAGCTTGTGTACAATTTCACATAACTGAAAAGTTTGTGTTTCTCAGCTCTAGCCTCTGTAGACCCTACCCAGAGTGGCCCAGCTGTTTTCTGATATATAAAGGTCAGAAGTTGCTTATCTTCTGCAGCAGGGTTTGGCGCCGCTCCTCGGGGCTAATGTTCTTGGCAATGGACTTGAGGAAATGCTGCTCATTTACCTTCTGGAGTAAGGCGCTAATAGAAGGGTTGGTCTTGCTCAGGGTTTCATAGCAGGTGAGGATTTCCAAGGCCAAAACGTAGAGTGGTTCACACACCTCTTGGTGGAGCATGGCCATGATGTGCAGAACATGACAGAATACCTGAGTATAAAAAAATAGGGCTTCCTGGGTCAGGTCCTGTTCTTGTCCTTGGGCCCAAGGGCCAACTGACTGTATCAACCTAACTGAATCTAGGAGGCTGGTCAGACTGCTACAGAGAAGTTTGACCACATGGCTCCAGCCTTCCATAGGAAGCCAGTTGCGACAACTCTGGCTACAGAGAAACTGGAAAGCTCTCAGGAGGAGTACAGAGAGTTGGAGCTCTTGGGCCAAGGGCTTCAGGTTGAGCAGAGGAACAAACTGAATATATTCCAGGCTATAAGGGACGTGCAGGAGTTGTTTCTCCAACAGTCTCCTGGTCAACTGGAAAAGGTACTGCCACTCCTGGGTGCTGCACCAAGGCATGACTTGCACCAGGGCTACCAGAAAGCCCTTGCTAAACAATCTGACCTCCTCAGGGTTGCCCACACCCACCACTAAGAGGGAGAGCATCCGTTCAGAGATGCTGCTAGAGATGCAGCAGCACTCCATCCAGGCGAGGAGCCCTGTGCCTGGCCCATACCCAGGGTGGGCCTGGGACGTCCACTCATCCTCAGAAAGCTTACAGATCTCAAAAAGGGTGGCTGGCACCTCACACTTGAAGTGGCCCTCAAAGAAGTTCTTCAGTCTCAAGCCCACAGTCCAGTCCAGTTGCTCCAACTTCCGGTGGAGCCAGGACAGGGACTTGACCCAGGTGTCTGGAGAAAAGCTCTCGGCATTAGCTAACACGATCTCACAGAGGAGCTCCAGGATACGGACCACCAAATCCTTCTCATCCAAAGACAGGCAGCGCTTCTCCTTAGAGAGCTGCCAGTATTTGCTGAAGCAATCCAGGAGCTGGCACAAGCTGAAGATGAGGGGGAACGGAGAACAGGTCTGGAGCCAGAATTCCTCTAAGCAGGCATTTGCTTCGAGAGTCTGGATGAAGATCTTCAGACTGAGGTCCACCTCTTCAACATCTAGCATCAAGAAAGGCAGGACGAATTCCCTAAGCACCTCGTCTGGCTCAAGAAGAGCAGCAACTGGAATCCCCTGGGGCTTCACGGGACTCATCATGCATCCCAGGAGCTCCAAAAACTGCTTTTCTTCCTTGGGTGTTGAGAACTTTGTCCAGACGGTTTCTTTGAGGCATGACACCACAAAAGTGGTAGATGGATTTGGACCTTGCTCTTCCTTGAACCTAAGGGCGGGGAAGGCAGTGAGAATCTGAGCCAGGAACTTGTGGGTACCGAGATTGACCACAGCCATACTGCACATTTTCTTCACTGTGATCTCCGGGTGCAGTAGTACCAGGCGGGCCACGGAAGCTACAGCCTTAGCCAAGCCCTGTTCGGAAGCACTCTGTGCAAGCTGGTTAAAAGTCGTGTTGAGGTCTTCCTGAAACCCCTCCAAGTAAGCCAACAACTTCTCAGAGAGGCCCTTTCGCCCCCAGGAAAGCAGGACACCTGAGAGGACTTTATTTTTATCTGGCAGTGAGAGGCCTGTGTAACACTCCAGGATCAGGCTGATCACTTGTTTGATCTGACATTCGGGGATGGCTCTGTCTGACATGCTGACTTCCACCACTGTTTCCAGCAGCTTTAACACCAAATCTGGCTCTCGGAAGAGAGCTTGGTTATTAACCAGGCAGGCTAGCCACTCGTCCGAGAAGGCCCACTTCTTCTCAGAAGCAAAAATGTAGCACATTTCCATGTGCCGATCCATCTTCTGCTCAATGATGGCCATGGCGATTGAGGCAGTGATGTCCTTCTCCAAGCCCTTGTTTAGTACCTTGTTTGTTTTCCTCAGGAAATCCCCGACACACTCTGCCAGTTCAGAGACCACCTGCCTCTCCTCCTTGGAAAAGCTGGTGGTATCCAGGTAGAGCTTCAAGTTCTGGCTGAAGGAAGTCAGACTGTCACACAGCCGGTAGCTGTCATAATTTGTCCCGTGGCTGCTGTTGAGCATGGCCTGCAGCTCCTCCCCCCACTCCCGCAGCAGGCTGCGCATGAACTCAAACCCGACGAAAATTGTTTCATTCGGGAGCCTGGCCAGTGAGCTCAGGTTGACGTCCCGTTCTGCCTCCTTTACCTTCTCTGCCAGTGCCTGTTGGTGATATGGGTTCTGGGTGTCCGAATTCCACACAGAGATCACCGTGGCCATCTTGTCTAGATACACAGTCGCGGACACTTCCTGAGGGTCGTCCTCCACCAGTGCAAACACGGTCAGCATGTCAGCCAAGTTGGCTAATGCACAGCACTTCATCCCAGGGCACAGGATTCTGTTTTGGATTTGCTTCAGCCCAGTGAGCAGCATGGCCAACAAAGGCATGGTAGGACACACATCTGGGTCTGACTTAAACCTCTTTGGAGGGTGGGAAAACTCATCTGAAGAGGACAAGTACTTATTAGCCATTGTCCTAAACTGGGAGAGCAAGGGGTCCTGCTGGTCACCCTTGTGCTTCATCATTTCCCACCAGACATCAAGGAAGAAGGCCACATCCTTTGAAGAAGTGTCAACAGCCAGGTGCTCCAGGAAGTGCTCTAGTTCTGCACGGCAGATGGTGGTGGGGAGGGCGAGCAGGAGCTGGATAAAGAGTCCAGAAGCTTCCAGGGACTTGAGCAGTTCGAAAAGGACCGTGTGATTGATGGTAGGGATCATGTTGCCTACTGAGAAGAACACATCTTCCTGCCACCGAGTTTCAGTGTCAGAAGGGGTGACAGGGTAGGGCTGAAGAACCTTGGCCCAGATGATGACCAGGGCTTTCCTCTTCCAGGCAAAGGACTGGGAGCATGCTGTGGCGGAGATCTCCCTCAAGGCCTCCACAATGGGCCGCCCAACATGCTCCCAGTCCGACTTTGTCAGTTCTGCCAGTGCTCTGGGGTGGAATAGCTGCTCAGCCAGCAAAAAGCCCCCGTGCAAAATAGTCATTTCTTCACAGATATTCAAGGGCCCTGCACGGAGAGAAGCCAAATAAGATAGAGTGTCGTGAACATTTTCAAAGTAGTAAGCAGAGGTTAGAAAGATAGCGGTTAGTAGGCTGGCTGTCAGGATCTGGGTTAGAGATAAGAGCTCTAAATAGGATCAGTGGGAGAGGGGGGAGACAGAGGTAGATTTAGAAGCCACTGTAGAGCTGGAGTAAAAAGGACTTAGGTGAGTAATAAACAAGGACTCCTAAACTCTAGCTTGGAACTGGGAAGACAACAGGCCCCATTGGAAATAGGGAACACAGACAGGAAACTCAGAACAGGTTTGGAGGGAACACTGTTAAGTTTTGGTTATTTGGAGTCTGAAGTATAACAATAAGGCAGTGATGCCCTCCAGCAATAGAAATGCAGAGCTGAGGCTCAGGATCAATGGAACCAATGAAGTGAATGAGATCCTGCAGGAAAAGCATTTGAAAAGGAAAAGCTAGAATAGTACGGCTATACCCTCCAGCAAAAGATGGGCCAGCAGACGATCTGGGGAAGGGTTTGAGAGGGGAGAACAAGGACAGTATCAAAGTACATTGGCGACCAAATATATATTGCAGGACATGAAGCTGAGCTTCTAAGTTATGATACAGATCAAGAGGCGCACGGCCCAGGGCTGTGGGCATAGAAGCAATCAGACAAACCCCACCTTCCCCTATTTCTCTTATAGCCTTCTCCTGCAAACAGGTTTCAACTGTTCATCCTTTCGGAGAAACAATTCTCCCCATGGCTTCTTCCATCAAGAACAGCTATTCACAGCCCTGGTTCTCTGGTAGAAACCAAGGGGTAGATAGAAAAAAATAATGCACTGCATTAAGAAAGAAAAGTCCTTCCTTCAGTGACCCATGAACTGACACAGACTTATCAAAGAAGGCATCTTGGGACGTTTAATCAGACATAAGTTTAGCTCAGCCATTTAAAAGCAGTGTGATCTTGGACAGATGACTTCTCTGAGCTTCCCTTCTGTATATGTGGGGATAATACAAACTTCATATAACTACCGTGAGGATCAAATGACAGATACTAGTCAAGCCCTTGACACTGGGTTGGCGCTTACTGTTAGCTCCTGATTCCATCTCCCAGGGATGGTGAGGGTTAAACAAGATACAGCTACAATAAGAATCAGGATACAAAGAGCCTGATGAAGTGCTCAATAAATGTTGGTTTCCCCCAAACCTTTTAATTGTTGACAAGACCAGAATCTTGTCCCTATTCTTGGCCTCCCTGAACTCAAAAACATGAAAAGACAGATCTTTCTCGGGTGTCTCCTTTAACTCAGAAATGAAATCAGAGCACAAACACTGCTCACTCATCAATATTCCTACTCCTGTCCCCTTTGCCAGGGCCCAGAGATGCCAACCCTTTCTTAGTCCCTCATATCCCCAAGAACCCATCTTCCCAGGCCAAGAGCCAACAGAGACTACTGATTCCAGCAGACTTAAGAATATTCTGCTCCGACCATTTATGGGAGCAGCAAAAAGGCCAAGGGATGAGCACCCCTAATGCAGCCTACCGGTGAAGGAAATCCACCTTGGCTTGCCCTGGGAGTGGCTAAGGCTGACTCCCAGGGAGGGTTAGATTGTTGAGGGGTATCTCTAGGGGTTCTGGGCCTTCTTTCTGGCTCAGGCTACTCTCCAGGGTGCCAAAAAATACATTCCCTATGATTCTGTAAACTGAATATTGCTCTATCAGCTCAGCTGAGATGTTTGGCCTCCAGAGACACTAAGTAAATACATATGCTACTTGAAGGAGTAAATGCCAGGAGTAGTTAATAGCCTGGTAATTCCCAAGTGTTTTATTTATTACTACTGGTTAACTGGTGCTTGTAGTGCCCACTCCTTTATATTAAGTGCTACTCTGTGCCAGGCACTGCACTAGGTGGTACGCATGTGAGAGCTCTTTAAGTCTTCCTATCGACCTTTTGAGGACTGTATTACTCCCATTTTAGAGTTGGGAACATTGAGATTCAAACAATTTGCTCAGGATGTTACACCTACAAAGCCGTTGGGCAGAAATCACCACAGCTATAGGGCCCCAAACTCTTCCAGCTCTACCATTCCACCACTTAAGAGCTAGGGCTGGAGCCAGGGACCACAACTTTTCTCCACATCCTAGTATTACTGGCACACCTTGGGATGCCTCACCCCAGTCTCCCAGAACAGTCTCCCGGTCTTACCCCTTAGGAGCAGGTCCAGAAGCGTAAGGAGCTGGGCAAGGAGCCACCCATTTATACCAGCTCCGCCCTCCCTCCTTCCAAACTTTGCCTCAGGATTCAGAATCAAAGTGCACGTGCCATCTCGGCCGCCGCAACTGCTTAGTCTGATGAACGCTATACACGTGACCTCAATGAAAACTCCCCCAAACTCTCAAGTGGATACATGATCATCTCCGTTTTTACCGATAAGGGCCTCATGAGCCTAAGTCACTTGCTCAAGAAATCAGACATTCAACAAATGAGACCGACGGGCACCCGGGACTCCCCGGGCGTCCTCCGAGCCCGGCATTTTCCGAAGCACGTGCATGAACCCTCCTCACTTTCAGGAAACCTTCGCTTCACAGCCGCCTGGCGCTTCACGCGCGGAAAGGGGCCGAGGGGCCAAGAGACGAGCCAAAGAGCGGCGGGGCCTGGGCTGGAGGCCGGGCTCACGCCCCCGGTCTCCGAGGACACTCCCACTCCCCACACCCCTCCCCACCCCGGAGGCCTCGCTTAGCCCGGGCCCACTCTGCACCGCCCCGCTCTCCCGTTGCGGGAGCGGCCCAGGCGGGCTCCGGGAAGGGGAGCCGCGACACCCACCTAAGTCCATGGCGGCGTCGCAGGCGCAGCGCGGCGAGTACTGCGCAGGCGCTACGGCACAATGGGCGGTCCCGGGGGGGCGGGACAATAGGCCCCCGCCTCAGGCCCCGCCCACAGGCTGAGCTCGGGCTCCGCGCGACCCGCGGCAGATTCGCTCTAGGCCGCCAAGCCCACAGCGCCCTCTAGCGACCCTCCAACAGGCTGGTACCGCCTCGGCCCCCCTTCTCCACGAGTCCCCACCCTGCTCCGCCGCCCAGTTCCCTCGGTTTCCACTCTTCTTTCAGGCACCCATCTGTCCAGTCCTCTGCCCAGCCCCGCTCCCTGATCCCAGTGGGTCCTACCCATTAGCTCCGTCCCTGGCCCCGCATTCAGCTCCACCCAGGAACCCCTGGGATCCCCGCACACAGCTCGCCCACACTGAATGGCCCTCGTCAGGCTGCCCACTAGCCAGCGCAGACGCGCCCCTCTCAGACAGGAAACCCCCCCCCCC